TTGAAGGTGGACACAGTCCCCACCATTCCGTGCCCTACTTCATCTCACTGAGCCTCAGTTGTCTCATCTGTAAAATGGGACTCCTACTCTGTGAGGATTTAATAAGTGTATGTAAAGTGAATGGGACCTTCTAGTGGCCAGCCTCATGGCATGAAACAAAGGGTGGTTATTAGCAGCCACTTCTGTTCTTGCACTGGAGGCAGCGGTTTCCTTTCAGGTACTGAATTCAGTATTTCTAGACTGAGCTCTGGGTGACCCCTCAGGGATGCTTTGTCCACACTGGTTTCACGAAGTGAACAGCATCTTGGCTCTCCACGAAAAGCGTTTGGGAGAAATTGGATTAGGAAACCTGCTGAAAGGTTTTTTTAAGTAAATCGAAGTGACCTTGTATTTGTTCTGTACTCCAGCCGCTCCCTTCAAAATACCCACGCTGGCCGGGTCGGCCCTGCCATGCTTTTCTCCCTGGGAGACCCTCTTGGGAAGTCCCCACCGGTGGCTGGTGGCATCCCCTCACTGTGTTCCCTGCCAGACCTGGAGAGGACGGGGCCCGCGCCTGCCCACGCTCCCAACCCCGGTCCCCCACGTGGTCCCCCACGTGACCCCCACACCCCTTGCTGCCTGCCCCTTGCTGCCTGCCGGGCGCTATCCTGGAAGAGTCCCCTCCTCCACCCGCCCGCCCCTCCCCCAGCTCCGCTCCCGGAGTCACAGGGGAATGAAGTGCAGGTCACGGTCTGGGGAGATTCCCAGCCGCCCTGCTTCCTGGTAAGCAGGTGTGTGTTCCTGTTCTTCCTCTCCAGCTCGTGGGGACGGCTTTTCTTTTTGTTTTGAAGTGGAGATAGGGGATGCCGAAAGAACTATTAACAGGTGCCACGGTACCCAGAATGGGTGGGGGGCGGGGGGTGCAGCCCAGGCCACACTGGCACCCCCTGCAGTTGTGATTTCGTTTGGACCGTGAGAGGGAACAGGGCGCTGTAGTGCAGATCTCAGCGTAATGAAGCAGAATTCTTGAGGAATCATGACATCAGTCTGCTTATTTTTCTCAAACTCCGAATTTCAAGGGGGAGAATTGGAAACACGTGGCTTCCTTATACTTTGGGTGAATTGCTGTTTCAAAGGGCCAATAGAGTGGCTTTAAAGTCTGTGTGTCTGTCTGTCTGTTGCTGTTTCCATCAGATCCTCTTGAGTTGTAATCTGGGAGCCGACACGACAGATGTACGGGGCTCCCCCGGCCTGGCCACCTCTCACGTTCTCCCTCCTTCTCTCCTCCCTCCCTCAGATGGATCCTGCCAACTTGCCCCCAGAGTTTGGGGCTCTTGATGAGCTGGCATTGGTGGCAGTTGAGATTTCCAGAAGCTACTGTCCAGACCCCTAGTTTGGGCACAGTTTGGGTTTAGGGCGGCAAACTCCAGACTCTCATTCTTCAGAGTGTCCCCGCCTCACTGTTAGGCCTCAGCAGCCCGCCTGCCTGTGCCCTTCTTCGTTTCTAAAGACCAAGATACAACTAATAAGTGAGCTCTTGGGTACACAGGACGCCTGACGATTAACTTAAAAATGTTCTTGGAGCCACAGAAAAATGAGCCTCACTCTGGGTGCTCATTTTAGACAAGTGAGCAGAGCGGTGACCTCTGACAAACAGGACCAGGCAACAAATTCCATGGAGGGATGACGGGGGAAAAAATGCTGAATCCGTGCAATTTCATTTAGAGCTTTTGTGCCGGGCACACTCTGTTGCGGAAGGAGCACCAGCCTCACGGTGCCTGCAGTGACATCCCTCACGGTGCCTGCAGTGACATCGGATGGGCTGGGCTGCTCAGGGCGTTTATTCTAGTAATCTCGCGACCCCAGGGCCCATCCGACACAGGCCGCGAGAGAAGTTGGGGAGACGAAGGAGACTGTAGGGATGTCTATCATCTACGGGCTTCCGATCAGCAAAGTGTGTCCTTTCCCACGTGCGTGCATGAATGGACATCATCAGATACGTTGGATATCTTACTTCAGGTCATTGGCCACTTGGCGAACGTTATGTTTCGTATCTAGACGAGTCAAATCTGCTACATACGCTTGTTCTTCAGCTCGGTCTTTGACAGAAAAGCTTAATGTAAAATAGTAGGGTTTGGCTATTTACATTTTGTCTGTCTATATTTTCCCATTATAAAAGTTGGTATCTTTTATTAGGAAGAAGCACAATTATGAGCTATAAAATATCAAAGACAGGTCCCTATGAAATTAGTTGTGCTTCCAAGGTCTCCTGAACTAAATAATGCTCTCTCTGTTCACCTGAAAGTGAACATAGGACCGTAGGTAAGAGTCTGATGATAAAGGGTGATTCCAGAAGTGCAGGAGGGCCTTCCACCAAAGCGTGTGGCATTTAGCTTAGACGGGAGGAGAGATTTCCTCACGCCAGGCGTTGTTGAACATCCAGGCAGGCTCTAGAGAAAATCCAACAATTCTTCTTTAAAAGACTTTTCAAAGGGAGCAAATTCTCTGGCCTCTGGGAGGGTGTTGATGTGACTGTGGCTGACCCCAGGTCGTAGTCAAAAGCTGAGCCTACGTAGAAGGCGAGGCCAAGGCTGCTAGTTTCCAGAAAGCACAGAGGCACCTTTTTTCCTGTGCCTTCCCTGAATTTTGTTAGGTAAATCGATACTTACCTTGCAGACGTTAAAAAAAAAAAAAATCAAATGTTGAAGGGGGAAGATGGTGTGTGTGCATGTGTGCGTATAGATACGTGTCCAGATTCTGTACAGCATCATAGCCCCAGTTTTTTAAAATTCCAAATCACTCATCAGCTTGGAATGTACAGGAGATAAATGGTATGCACGAACCGTGTGCACGGCTACATTTGTGTTTCTTTGCCTTGTGTGCCCTCATTAGTCACCATGGGTGCCCTCCTGGAGGTTTCTGTGGAAAATGATGCCTATTTAGAGTTCTCGGTCTGGTGACTGTGGGGTGTATTAAATGACTGGTCCAGGCAGCTGTGCTTCCGGATTCACTGGAATAACGGTTCACAAGGCTACAATGGCCATATTCTAGTTTAAATGCTTCAAACTCACAAGTTAGATTGAGGAATTCATAAACTTGCTACATTATAAACCTACTTGGAAACAAGAAATAATTCTTACTGGTGGAAAGCCTTTCTCTTCTCGTTTCTTTTACTTGCTAGTCCCCCCCCACCCCCCACCTCCTGCTATGAACACCTACTAAAGCCAAAAACTGAATGTTCTCCCGATTTGTTGCTCAAGAGACGGGGAACCAACGAAAGGCAAGTGTAGCTCTGGAAAGCAACTGCAAAGCCAAAGAGTAGTTGTCGTTTTAACTCCCAACTCTTATGTAAAGCTAACATGCTCATTAAAAAACCAAATATGAAAATTTCACGTAGGCACGTTATTCTTTCAGTCCTTCTAGGTGGCTTTGTCACATAATAAGCAAAATGTAATTTAAGGCAAACGGCCCCATCAGGGCAAAGCCGTATAAAACTCAGCATGGTCAATGTCAACTCAAGTTCAGAACACTGGCGAGGCAAAAGGTTGTATCTGTTTCCTGGAATATCATTTGAGACCACAAGCCAGTGATTGGGTGTTCTGCTATCTTTGGCCTCTGGGAGTTACCACTGGAAACAAAGCTCATCCTTGTCTAAAGTTCTGACTGACAACCTGAAGGAGTGGCCAGCGTGGAGTAAAGTATCCAGTCTAGTGTGAACGCAACTAATGAGAATACCGGTCGGCAAGGTGGGATTCACGTGGCCCTTGGAGGGTGTCCGCGAAATCTTTGGACTCCAAATAACGAAGTTGCCAAATTTGATCGCGTTTCTTTCTTTTTTTTTCCCCCGTGAGTCTGATAATGTAAAGTGAATGATTTAAAGGGTTTCGATACCAGGTCAAGGGTCTTTTCATTTGTCTCTTGTATGGATCTAATTGCTGTAGAGAAATTACTTTTGGATAGCGGAATTTTCCTAATGGTTTGGAGAAGATCCCATCAGAGACCTCTCCTAATTAAGATCACCCAGAACAGAATAGGCGAGGGGGTTGATGTCCGAGAGATTCCAGGAAAAGAACTTCTCAGGCCAGAAAGCTCTGGATGAAGAAGAGGGGAGGCAGAGCTGGTGGGGGATGGAGTGAGACCTTGCCCAGCCTCGGAGGTGGGGCGGGGGGTGTGAGAGCAGACACTGGATCGTGCCCCCACCTGACTGTATGTGCTCCATAGACGAGGGGTTAGAGAGAGGAGCTGATCGCCTGATCCAAATCATGGATGCTTCTTTTCTGGAAGCGACCTTTAGATCAGAAGTTGGGTATCTTAAAAGGATGGTCACTAAAGCTTAGGGCAGTTACACCTTCAAGATCCTTCGGAAACTCCAAAGGGAGACTTTAGCCTACAAAAGACAGGAAGGCATGGCTGAGCTGCCTGGGGTCGGTCTGTCACTGCTGGCCTCCCTCTCCCCCAAGGCTGTGGTATCCCTTCACGTGGAAAGGACAGGGCAGTGACTTTGGCTCAAGGTCTGACCCAGCTGGGCACGTCACAGCATTGTAAGACCCTGTGCTTAACTATTTTACCTCTTGGTTTCTCGGCCTCACAGTCGCCGATTTTTCACGCGTTTTCGAGCTGTGTCTCTCACACGGTAACGCACAAGCCCCGTGGGGCTTAGATGTGAGCCACACTTACCGAAGGGTTCGAGCTCTTGGGCGGAAGTTGGTAGGATTCCGTTACGTGATCTTCACGATTTCTCCTTGGCCCTGTCTAGAGACACACGAGGCCAGGTGCGTACAGCTTTGCTGGGCCCGCGACGCCCCTGGGTGTGCAGTAATAATGTCCGCCGTTTCCGCAAATTCGACGCTTAACCACAGAGGTGCTTGCTGATGGGAATCACTGGTGTTTGTCTCTGGCTGAGCGTGAACTTCGCCTTGGCCATGGGTCCCAGGCTCCTGAAAGATGCACTTACTAGCTGTGCCCGTTTGCTCGTAAGATCCCGGAGCACTGAGTCAGGATGGCTGATGCTTTGGGGTCTCATGCGCATCACCCGGCCTCTTCGAATAGCGGAGACCTTGGACTTGGCAGCACGAGGGCGTGAGAGGCACTCTGTGTAAAGCCGCCGTCTGTCCCCGTGGTCCTTCTGCCTCTGGGAGATCCGAGGAGCACGTCACCCAGTCCCGGAGATGGCACCTTGCCCTGTGACTGGCCCCGGGAAGGGGGACCGCAGAAGGGGGCGGGACAGCCGGCGCTGGACGCCCCTCGTGATTAAGTCTTGCCGTGTACTGTCAACGTGCCCGTGCCCTTCGAGGTTCACCTTCCTCCTTTAAAGCCCCCGAGTGAGACTCTCCAGATCTCTGCCGGGCTCGCTGACCACCTGTCAGCATTTTGAGTTTTGCCTCGTCAGCCGCTCCGCCGAGGGACCGCGGCCGGCACCGTTGTCCCTTATTGCTCAGCCGGCGGCCCCTTCCCCACCACCACCTTCCCGAACGAAGGTTAGGGGAGAGCCTGCCTTCTTTCTGATAACTGATCTCCTCTTCGCCCTTCTCTCTGCCCCGTCTCCTGCCTTCTCCCCAAGCCTGGAAACGCCGTGTACCCTGCACGTGCAGATGGTTTCTGTTTGCACTCCCGCCCCCGTCACACGCTGCCCCTGACGTGGATGTCAGTAGACCTGTGGGACGCGGGACAGAGGGGAAGGCGTGTGCCTCTGTCTTCTGGCTGCCGGGCTCTCCCGGGGCCTCAAGGGGTCGGTGCCCGTCAGGCCGCATTCTCTGCCGACTGCGGGGTTATTCCAGGAAAACACCCCGTCCTCCGGGGTTCTGGTGAACCTCTGGCCTTGGGCCTAATCCTGCACTTCTACGAGTCCAGGCTGGTCCCCTCCATTGAAAGGTCCGGTTTCTAAGTCCAACCAGGAATGCCTCCCCCTCCCCGGCCTTGCCCATTTTAGTGGGGCGTCCGTCCTACTGACCACACTCTCTCAGGCATGAGATCCCAGCGGAAGCTTCCACTCACATTTTATTTTATTTTATTTTAATTTAATTTTTGCAGGTATGTGCCATTTAAAAACCATTTTTTTTAATGTTTATTTATTTTTGAGACAGAGCATGAGCAGGGAGAGGGGCATAGAGAGAGGGAGACACAGAATCCAAAGCAGGCTCCAGGCTCCAAGCTGTCAGCACAGAGCCTGACGCAGGGCTCGAACTCACGAGCCGTGAGATCGTGACCTGAGCCGAAGTCGGACGCTCAACCGGCTGAGCCACCCGGGCGCCCCTTCTGCCACTTTTTATCATATTGTCTCTGTGCTACAGATGGTCACCGCTTAATGTAGGAAAAGGTGGATTTAAATTGCGCTAGTCATGCAAACATTTTTCTGGGGTTTGCAAGAACCTAAAAAAATGTATTTTTAATTGTAGCATTCGCTGTTTACTTTTAACTGATGACTGTTGGGTGAGCAAATCCCGATACTTTTCCTTGGACTCTTCTCCATCGCTGTTGTCAGCTCTCCACCCCTCTGGATTCTTCAGGTCCCGCGTTGTCCTCTCTGAGCTGATTGCTCGTGTCACTTATCAAGTCATTGGTCTCGGGCAGCCCCACACGTTTCCCGTCTTCATCCGTAGTTTTTCCATTCTTCTAGGGAAGTGCAGGCATGGAAGAACTTGCCCCCTGAGCTGCGCCTCCCCCGGTATTTAAGCATTTCTGAAGCTCGGAGCCACCCATAGTCACTAGAAACAAGAGCAGCCGTCGAGCCCAGCCCCTGCCTGTCCTCCTGCCTCGCAGATGGCGCTGCTAAATGGTTCCTGTTGTCTCATCTTCGTCGTGCCTGTGTCACGGTCACCACTCTCTGGTTCTAACTCCCCAGAGCCACGGTTCTCAAACCAAGAGGCTTAAGGATCCTTCAGGCTCGTTAGCGCAGAGGTTGTGACTTGGCAGGTCTGGTGTGGAGCCTGTGGGGCTGCAGGTTTGACCAGCCCCCGGGGTGACGTGAGGTGGCACGTTGGGGGTGTTGTGCCCAACACAAAGAGGGTGGGTCTGGGGTCTGGAGCCAGGATTAGAATAGGATTGTCAGGTTTAGCAAACGAAATACGGGACACCCAATTAAATTTGGTCATCAGGTAAACCACGAGTCGATTTTTATAGAAGTGTGTCCTAAATATTACATGGGACATAACTTTTTTTTTTAACGTTCGTTTTGAGAGAGGGAGAGCTCACGCGCATGCGTGTGCACACATGTGAGTGGGGGAGGGGCTGGGAGAGGGAGAGGGAGAGTCCCAAGCAGCCTCCTCACTGACAAAAAGGGGCTCAATCCCACGAACTGGAGATGATGAACTGAGCTGACATTAAGAGCCCGTCCCTTAGCTGACCGAGCCACCCTGGTGCCCCGTGGGACATCCTTCTATAAAAGTCAGTTGATGGTTTATCTGAAATTCAAATTTAACCAGGCATCTTGAATTTTATCTGGTGATGCAATTGTGCCAGAAACCAGTGGATTGAAGGGCACCCAGGTGGCTCAGTCAGTTGAGTGTCTGACTTTTGATTCCGACTCAGGTCATGATCGTGGCTTCAACCCTTGCATCGGGCTCCTTGCTGACAGTGCAGAGCCTGCTTCAGATTCTCTCTTTTTCTCTCTCTCAAAATAAACTTAAAAAAAAAAAGCAGTGGATTGAGTCACCACCCATCGCCCCTGTCTATAGTGCTTTGTAGTATTATTCAAATACCTATCTAGAAATCTTGTGATGGCAGAGGCTTTTGAAAATTAAAGACTAAAAGGTTGGTTAAGGGGCACCTGGGTGGCTCAGTCAGTTAAGCGTCCGACTTCGGTTCAGGTCATGATCTCATGGTCTGTGAGTTCGAGCCCCACATCGGGCTCTGTGCTGACAGCTCAGAGCCTGGAGCCTGCTTCGGATTCTGTGTCTCCTCTCTCTGCCCCTCCCGTTCGCGCGCGCTCTCTCTCTCTCTCTCTCTCTCTCTCTCAAAAATAAACATTTAAAAAAATGTTTTAAATAAATGGTTAAAAGAGTGAAAATCCAGGGAGGGTAATTATACTTCGAATTTTTACCACTGGCCCTTGACTTGCTCAGAATACCCACCTGCTTTTGGAATGGAAAGCAAGGATGGCAACTGCACGTAAATGCCAAGTTCGTCCAATTTGGGTTAAAAGATGCACAGAAATACTCCGTTGAGTAGTCTGGAGTCTTGTAGAGTTTGGGGTGGTCATCTGTTCCTTACAAGAAGGAGTCAAAGACCTCTGTGCTCAAAGGCTTGCTTGCAGTCAGGGAAACGAGCTTCCTGCTCGACGTGCAAGCTGGGTATGCGTCTTGTTGACCACGAGCATGTGGGACTGTTGGCCACATAAGGATTCTGGAGTGCTGCATACACACATCGAAATCCTGGTTCCACCTCTTCTCTGTGACCTTGGGCCAGGCGCTTAGCCTTTCCGTGCAGTAAGTGCTTTCATTCATAAAATGGAGATAATGCCTATCAGGCAGTGTTGCTGAGTAAGTAAAATGATCTAGGATAGCAAGACGCCGTCACTGGTACTCAGGTACTTAATCTAAGTGCCACAGAAGTGATTTTACAAGAGAGGCAAGAATTTAACCTGTTCTTTTTAGTAGGTGCGATGAGTGAAGGATGGTTCATACGTTGTGAACCTGCTTTGGGATTATCTTGGCTGACTGCCTTCTTACTAACAGTTTTCTGTGTTTTTCTACCTGGTCTAGGATTAACACAGATTCCTCAGATCCAAAAGACTGAAATTTCCTTTCGCCCGAACGACCCCAAGAGCTATGAGGCATATGTGCTCAACATAGTTAGGTTCCTGGAGAAGTACAAAGATTCAGCCCAGAAGGATGAAATGATTTTTGAAGATTGTGGCAGTAAGTAGACTCATCTTGGACGTTTATGGTTGGTTCATTCTTATTTCCCATTTCTATTTGTTATCTAACAATCGCAAGATCGACTCTTGAAGTAATTCAGTGATTGAACCCTGGCCATATTGAGAGGACACTGTTTTCTTTTTTTTTCTTTCTTTCTTTGTTTTCTTTTTTTTGTTTTAAAGCGAGAAGATTTTATGGTTTAGGCTTGGATGCAATGGAGAAACAATGTAGCTTCAAGTATTAACGATTATCAGCATTTGAAAAGCATCTTATTTTAAAAACACTCCAGGCACCCCTCCGACTCACAGACCACAATTACAGTTACGGTTCTCTTACACCCATTGATTTTGAGAGGCACGATTGTTTATATTTCCCGATTTCTGCCTCGGCCCCCAGGGCCTTCTCTTGCGATGGCTCTTTGACATAATTGGCCGTAACTACACTGATACGGATAGAGGATGATGTCTGGCCAGGGTAGAGGCCTTCCTAGACCCTGCTGGGGGTGGCTGGTGCAGTACGTCTCCGGTAGCCGAGCATTTGGATGAGGAAATGACCGATGAATGGCGAAGGGTGGCTCTTGGTTTCATTAAGCCACTGGCCGGAATACACTGCCTGGCGTGTGCATTATCCAGCCGTGTTTTCGTACCCACTTAGACGGGATGTCCGTCTGAGTTACGAGGTGGTGCCTGTCCTTCCTGTCCTGCCAACACCAGCTCCTTATGGGGCAAACGGTCACGTTAAGGCATCTGGAAGAGAGTAATTTAAAAGAAACATTTTCACTACCTTTTTCCTTAGGACTGAAAGGGGGTTTTCGTCTCACTTTGCGGTAACTCAAAGGCCTGTATGTTAAAGGCCTGTATGAAAGATCATTAGGGTGAATCACTTCACTGGAGGTGGACTGAGTTGAGGCACTTGACCGTTTGAAAGAAAAAGAGTTAACTTGTGACCTTAGAAATACATACAAATTTTGGCGTTTGCATCGGTTTCCCATAGGACGCTTTTGTACTAACTCTGAATTCTCTATTTCGTGCGCTCTCTCTCTGGCTTTGTTACGGGCTGTGAATAAAAAATACTACAATTTCTCAGCTGAACAAATGCCAGGAAGAAGTCCCAGCTTGAACAAGCAAACATTGAAAAAAAAAAAAAATTTGTTTTTAAACCTTGAACAGTGGCGAAAAGGAAGAAAAGAATTCTTTCCTTACCGTTTAACCTGCTAATTAGGGGCACGGACAGCGGCTTAGCCGTGGCCGGGCAGCTGTGACCAGAAGCCTCCCAGTTCTGAAAATTACTGATGCTCCTTTTCATTTGTGCTCTAATTGTAATGTCCCTGTTCATGAGCTCAGTGATGTTGACCTGTGTCAGTGAGGCTGACGGGTGATCGGATTTCCTTTCAGTCTCCTCACTAGCTGAGTCACCCGTTATTTAAAGGAAGAGACACATGGCCACAGACCACACATCACGCCCCGATCATCAAAGCCCCGTGAAGCCATGACGCGGGGTCATTTACCAGCAATTGCTTTGGGTAAAAGACGTTTCCCGCGTCTGTGAGACCAGAGGTGGTTTGCTGGGAATCCGCGCCTTCATTCAGGCCGAGCACTAAATGCAGACCGGCCCGCTCTTGATGGGTCGTCGTGACCAGGAGGGACCCTCTCTGCTTCCTTTCTCGGGGGCGCCGAGGGAGTCGTTGGTATGTTGTAAGCACGGTGTTTGTGTTTTCAGATGTGCCCAGCGAAATCAAGGAACGGGGAGAATTCAACAACGAACGGGGAGAGCGGAAAGTGTGCAGGTTCAAGCTCGAGTGGTTGGGAAATTGCTCCGGAATAAACGATGAGACTTACGGGTACAAAGAGGGCAAACCGTGTGTCCTCATAAAGCTCAACCGAGTTCTGGGCTTCAAACCTAAGGCAAGTAATGTTTGAAGTCATAGAACTTGAGCCGTTTTCATTTGGGCAGAGCATCTAATAGGCGTGAGGAGAGCGTAGAAAGAAGGGTTAGTCTCCTCAGTGGTGACTTCTTTTCTTTTTTCTTTTCTTTTCTTTTCTTCTCTTTTCTTTCTCTTCCTTCCTTCCTTCCTTCCATCCTTTTTATTTCTTTTTTTTGGGGGGTTGGGTACTGAATGAGATTTCCCTGCAAAACCAGAAGCTGGACACCATTCAGGCTGAACTCTGATAACCGTGGTGTTGGCCTTGATACTGTTGCAGCTTCGAGTGGGTAAACGGGACTTGAGGCCACTGAAAAATGGCACCTTGCCATTGTTCGCCGTTAGGTGGGGCGATAGTTGACTCTTTAAAAGAAGGGAAAGTGTATTGGTGTTATCTCTGCTCTTCTAAAACTGGTTATTTCACTCTGTCCTTCAGGTCAGGGGAAATAGAGCTGCGCTTTTCCCTTCGGTGAGGCTGCTTCCCACAGCTCTCCCGCATCCACCCTCGGTGGGGGGGGGGGGGGCACTGCCCTTCCATGCAGGGTTCTCAATTGTTAATATTTTTAAAAAATTTGGTTTTAAGTTTACTTATTTTTGAGACAGAACGTGAGCGGGCGGAGGGGCAGAGAGTGAGGGAGAGAGAGAATCCCAAGCAGGCTCCACGCTGGCAGCCTGGAGCCTGATGTGGGGCTCAAACTCCCAAACCGTGAGATCGTGACCTGAGCCGAGACCAGGAGTCGGGTGCTTAACTGACTGAGCACCCCCAGGCGCCCCGAGTTTTTAATTCTGATAGGAATTGACTGCGGGGTGCTGAGTGACATGAGCAAACCTAACTTCATTTCCGGACCCTGGCTCTCTCGTTCGTTCGCTTTCTGCTCTATGCCATTACTTTGTGGCCACGATGCTTGCTGCTCCCGAGTCGTATTTACAAAAAGAAAACCGAGGCCGAGATGAGAAGTTCTAACTGCACCGAGTGGGGCGCCTCAAACTCCTTTACCGCCTCTGGAGGGTGTGTGGGATGGACGGTTGCCCGGCTGGCCGACGCGACGGCCCTGCCGCCACGGAAGCTGGCGCACCTCGCTCCCGACAGAACTTCAGTCTTCTTTGTACTGGAGTTAGGATGTGATGGAGGAGAGATGGTGAGAAGCGTCCTGTCACACTTCCGGCTGGGGTGCATCTGCCAGGGAGCTCTTCGCCTAGCCCAACCGGCTGTTCCACCACGAACGGGATTGGTGCGGTGGCCTGAGGGGAAGGCGCCTCTTTCTGTCCAGTCCTGTTTGTCTCTGGTCTCCACCCGCTGCCACCCTCTAATTCATCACCCCATTTTGTCGTTAGGAATTCTTCTTGTCAGAGGGTGTGGTACCCCAGGGTGTCCTCGAGGTGCCTGTTGCCTCGCCCTCAGAGGGATACGTTCCGGCAACTTCTTTATCAACGAACGTTTTCTCTTCCTGTCTTCAACGGTCGTGGTGTTGCTGGCCGAAAGGTCCGAGGGAGTCCGATCTAGATGGTCGGTTTCTTGTGTTCTACAACAAAGAGCATCAAAATCTCTAGTGATTCGCAGAATTGCCCCTTTTATCTTCGGTTAGGCTGTGTATGTGTTACATCTCCTGTCGAGACTCCTGTCCTGACCTGGTCGAGGAAGCGGGTGGCTGTCTTCGGGGAACGATGCTCATCACACCTCTCCTGAGGTGGCTTGGGGCCGGGGCTGTAGGAGGGAGCGCTCTCGACGGTTCCTCGCGGCAGGGATGTTCAGAGTGTACTCTGGGCCCCTTCAGGGGGTTCGCGCCTTCACCAGACCCCTTCACGCGGGGCCCAGCTGCCTTTACCGGTTTTCATATAGGACTTGACAGAAAGAGTTGGAAATGCTCCTTAAATGGCAGCGCGTCTCCCGGAGAGTCAAAGGGAAAAACAAAACCGAAAAAAAACAAAACACCTGCTTGAGGGAACTGGGTGGCGTGATTTATTCACGGGGTAGGAGGAAAGCCCAAGTTTCATCAAAAGTCAACCAACCTTTCCGTCCAATTATTACGACCTTCTTAATGAGGAATATTAGTGCCGGGTTGGCCTTTATTTTCCAGCGTCCTTGAGGAACGCTTGTCACCCTGGGTTACGCTGGGAGTTACGCGTGGCGCCGGGCCGCGTCGCAGCCTCGCTGTGGCCTCGCAGAACGCGGGCACAGACTTGTGTTTTGTGTTTTGTTACCGGAGTTGACTCTTGGTGCCCTGTGGGTGCCGGTTTGTGCTCCAGGCCCCCTTGGGTTTTTCAGAAGTCATGGGAACCGACTCACAGACTCGTTGACCGGCGTGGGTTTGTATTTTTAGCCTCCCAAGAATGAGTCGTCGGAGGCGTACCCAGTGATGAAGTATAATCCCTACGTCCTGCCCGTCCAGTGCACCGGCAAGGTAAGGGGGCACCTGGTTACCAAAGAGGGGTGGGAGGGGAGACCGGGTGGGACCGTCGTCCGTTAGAGGTGCAACTTGGACGGGGGAAGCGAGGCCTGTCGCTTCCGGGCACGGGCCTCGATCGAGCCGTAGCGGCGCGGGGTAGAATGTCTGAGAGAAAGCGGTAACAAGACTCAGACCATACGTGGGTTTCTCCACGAGAACAAGAAACCGAATTACCGGGGTCGAATCAGCCGGAATCTTGGTTTACGGGACCGAGAGGTGAACCAGCCCACACGGGGCCTCTCTGGCCCCCGTGGTGTGTGGCACGTTCGAGGCCAGATTTTTGTTTCGTTTTGTTTCAGACGGTTTCCCATTAAAAAAATGTGTTTTGGGCTTTTCTGGAAAAAACAAGGAAAGCTGTAACAGTGCGTGCTCCCTTTAGACCTGAAAATAGGCTCCTGCCGGATGGATCGCTTACAGAGAGGGCAGACTGAGGAAGGGGGGTGTCTGGGAACAGCCCCATTTTATGGCCACACGAGAAAGCAGATGGATGCCAAGAGAGTGAGAGGCGGTTACCGAGCCCCTCGGGGAGGAGACCCCTGAAGCGCCATCCACTGGGCGACCACCGGTGGCTTTCTGACTCTCGGTGGCAGGTCCCTTTCTCGGGGCGCGGGCTCTGGAGACCTGCTTCGTTGGCCTTTGCCGCGGTTTCCTCCCTTGCGCCGCGAGAATAGGCTCCTTTTGCGACCGCTCCCGCGGCTGCAGGGGAGCAGGCCGTGCGCGTGCGCGGCCTCCCCTCGGGTCGCGAGGCGGGCGTGTCCTCGGTGGCTGAGGTTCCCCCGCCTCCCGGGGAGGCTGGAGCAGGCGCTTCGGGACGGC